AAGAAGACCAAGCTGAATTAAACGGGATTTTTCGTGAGGATCGGGAGTTGCGACGTTATCTTGTTTCTGCTAAAGATGAGATGATTTGCTTGCTTTGTGATACCGCGTCACCGACGTCAGAGAAACTCCACGCCCGTCAGCATTATATCAGGAGCACAGATGTTTCAAATTAGAGGGAGAGGCACGAAGGGTCGTACTGCAGAAATTAAAAGATGAGAGGCAGAAGCAAAGACGATGCTTTCGAGCAGCAAGAAGACCTGGAAATGACGCCACTGAAGCGACTTACGAAGTAGCTTGTATACTCAGGAAGAAAAAGGGAAGCCTTTAGATGGGGCGCCAATTGGAAAGAAAGCGTTGTCGAAATTGTAGGTTGCTTGGACCCCGATAACGTTTCCAAAGGACAAGCAACTGCCTCTTTCGAGCAGAACGATACCTCATCTATAGCACGAATTAGCCTTCGACTTCACAGGACAACTTCATGCAACACCTCAAAAGGAAAACATACATTATTCAACCACTTTGGACGAATCAGCTGATGCTACTGGTGCGGCGCGGGTTTTACGTTTCGTAGAGGTTTTCTTTGCTACGAAGAGTTCCTCGCTTTGGGCGCTATTTGGAACGGAACACGGGGAACAGACACCTTCAACAGCTTTGAAGATAAATGCCGTGAAGTCGGGCTGCATTTGGTAAATTTAAGGAGTGTCCGTACAGACGGTGCACCTTCCACGGCAGGAAACCAAGAAGGATTTTTTGCGCAGATAAAACAAGTATCGACACATCCGGATGCTCTCATTTCTCCTCACTGTATCTTGCAGCGGCAAAATCTCGAGCCTAAAGCTATCATTTTAGGTGACACTTTGCAACAAGTTGCAAGTACTGTTCGCTACGTTTGTGCAAACGCGACACGGCATCATCGGTTTCGTAACGTGCTAAGATTGAATGACGAGGCATTCGGTGTGGATTTGCCGTGTTATTCTAAAGTGGGCTGGCCATCGCACGGGCACGTGTTGGCCAAAATTTTACCTCCGTGAGAACGGACAGTTACGTTTTATGAAGGACAGAATCGGCAACGCGAATTATTACGAGAAGATCTCCATGGGAATGCGGCATTGCTGTGTGATACCACGCCAAATCAGAATGACTTGGATATTTCTTTGCAAGGTGAAACTAAGTCTATATATGATATGTGGCCAAAAAATCCAAGCATTTAAAAAAAAAAAAAGCTATCTTTTCTCAAAACACTTCAAAAGGAAATTTAAGACGAACATTTTCCCCAGTTGGCGAGGGTCACCAATGAAGAGGATGATACACGCACATCATTTTAAGAATACACAGCTGCTAGAGACCTATTGATTGGAGAATACAATGAAACGTTCACTGGCTTCGAGAAATCACGACATCACGTTTCATGCTAATTAAATGCTCTAATTAGCATTTCAGCCTCCCCTAGTTGCTATCATCAAAGCTCCTAAACAACTATGGATGGAGTTGATTGAGATGATACTTTAGAGTCACTGTCGCACGCTAAGAAAGATCCAATCGAAATATGGAAAAATGCAGAATACCCAGCACCATGCCCGAGAAACGCGTTCTTGCTTTTCAACCACTTATTGCTGCAAATCTACGTTCTCCCACCTGACCCGAATCAAGACACCCTAAGGTTACAGATGGCTGACAGCCGTCTAGAGAATCAACTGAAACTGTAGACCTCCATCCTGCAACCAAATAGTCAAATGCTCTCCAACAAAAAGCAGGCGCGACACAGTCTCTAAAAGGTTAACTTTAAAATTAACAAACGGTTTTCACTGTTTGAAATGTTTAAGTACGCAGTAGTTAGATTTCTTTACAAAATAATGTACATTTTTAAGTATATCTAATTGATCTCTTCAATGTGACCTTATTTGATTACAGCTAAATTCATGCGGCCTTCCAACATGAAAACGTTCCCCACCCGTGTACTGAACAAACTCGTCACTGTAGCTGGGACCCAGAATGCCCAGTGACCCATGAGGCCATCTGCCACCAAGCTAATAATCGTCTGCC